CTTTTTCAGCGACAGAAAACATGAAATTCCACTAAACAACCTCGTACTACAGTCTGCTCGTCGTGTACGCAACGGAGATGACGTACAAGACTTAGAAGAGGGCCATCGAATACAAAAGCGGATGGAGGTGTTATTAAATGAATTTCTCGAAATAGTCTGCATCTAGGACTTCCCTTTACAGCGACAGGAAACATGAAATTCCACTAAACAACCTCGTACTACAGTCTGCTCGTCGTGTACGCAACGGAGATGACGTACAAGACTTAGAAGAGGGCCATCGAATACAAAAGCGGATGGAGGTGTTATTAAATGAATTTCTGGAAATAGTCTGCATCTGCTGCTAGGGTGGCGTGCGTATCTTGCGTAGTGTACGGTGAGAGATATTCTCAGCTTATAGATGACCGGTTGGCTGTAGATGCCGCTCCAATACCAAGCTGTGGCCTCCCCAAAACTAGAAAAATTAGATCCCGAGGCGACTTCACTCGCATATTGAATAAGTTGGACGCCGGCTACGGTGGCGTGCGTATCCTGCGTAGTGTAGGGATTAGAGATATTCTGAGCTTATAGATGAGCGGTTGGCTGTAGATGCCGCTCCAATACCAAGCTGTGGCCTCCCCAAAACTAGAAAAATTAGATCCCAAGGCGACTTGACTCGCATTCTGAAGTTGTCCTGACGCCGGCTACGGTGGCGTGCGTATCCTGCGTAGTGTAGGGATTAGAGATATTCTGAGCTTATAGATGACCGGTTGGCTGTAGATGCCGCTCCAATACCAAGCTGTGGCCTCCCCAAAACTAGAAAAATTAGATCCCAAGGCGACTTGACTCGCATTCTGAAGTTGTCCTGACGCCGGCTACGGTGGCGTGCGTATCCTGCGTAGTGTAGGGATTAGAGATATTCTGAGCTTATAGATGACCGGTTGGCTGTAGATGCCGCTCCAATACCAAGCTGTGGCCTCCCAAAACTAGAAAAATTAGATCCCGAGGCGACTTCACTCGCATATTGAATAAGTTGGACGCCGGCTACGGTGGCGTGCGTATCCTGCGTAGTGTAGGGATTAGAGATATTCTGAGCTTATAGATGACCGGTTGGCTGTAGATGCCGCTCCAATACCAAGCTGTGGCCTCCCCAAAACTAGAAAAATTAGATCCCAAGGCGACTTGACTCGCATACTGAAGTTGTCCTGACGCCGGCTACGGTGGCGTGCGTATCCTGCGTAGTGTAGGAATTAGAGATATTCTGAGCTTATAGATGACCGGTTGGCTGTAGATGCCGCTCCAATACCAAGCTGTGGCCTCCCAAAACTAGAAAAATTAGATCCCAAGGCGACTTGACTCGCATACTGAAGTTGTCCTGACGCCGGCTACGGTGGCGTGCGTATCCTGCGTAGTGTAGGAATTAGAGATATTCTGAGCTTATGGATGACCGGTTGGCTGTAGATGCCGCTCCAATACCAAGCTGTGGCCTCCCCAAAACTAGAAAAATTAGATCCCGAGGCGACTTGACTCGCATACTGAAGTTGTCCTGACGCCGGCTACGGTGGCGTGCGTATCCTGCGTAGTGTAGGGATTAGAGATATTCTGAGCTTATAGATGACCGGTTGGCTGTAGATGCCGCTCCAATACCAAGCTGTGGCCTCCCCAAAACTAGAAAAATTAGATCCCGAGGCGACTTGACTCGCATACTGAAGTTGTCCTGACGCCGGCTACGGTGGCGTGCGTATCCTGCGTAGTGTAGGGATTAGAGATATTCTGAGCTTATAGATGACCGGTTGGCTGTAGATGCCGCTCCAATACCAAGCTGTGGCCTCCCAAAACTAGAAAAATTAGATCCCAAGGCGACTTGACTCGCATACTGAAGTTGTCCTGACGCCGGCTACGGTGGCGTGCGTATCCTGCGTAGTGTAGGGATTAGAGATATTCTGAGCTTATAGATGACCGGTTGGCTGTAGATGCCGCTCAATACCAAGCTGTGGCCTCCCAAAACTAGAAAAATTAGATCCCAAGGCGACTTGACTCGCATACTGAAGTTGTCCTGACGCCGGCTACGGTGGCGTGCGTATCCTGCGTAGTGTAGGGATTAGAGATATTCTGAGCTTATAGATGACCGGTTGGCTGTAGATGCCGCTCCAATACCAAGCTGTGGCCTCCCCAAAACTAGAAAAATTAGATCCCAAGGCGACTTGACTCGCATACTGAAGTTGTCCTGACGCCGGCTACGGTGGCGTGCGTATCCTGCGTAGTGTAGGGATTAGAGATATTCTGAGCTTATAGATGACCGGTTGGCTGTAGATGCCGCTCCAATACCAAGCTGTGGCCTCCCCAAAACTAGAAAAATTAGATCCCAAGGCGACTTGACTCGCATACTGAAGTTGTCCTGACGCCGGCTACGGTGGCGTGCGTATCCTGCGTAGTGTAGGGATTAGAGATATTCTGAGCTTATAGATGACCGGTTGGCTGTAGATGCCGCTCCAATACCAAGCTGTGGCCTCCCCAAAACTAGAAAAATTAGATCCCGAGGCGACTTCACTCGCATATTGAATGAGTTGGACGCCGGCTACGGTGGCGTACGTATCCTGCGTAGTGTAGGGATTAGAGATATTCTGAGCTTATAGATGACCGGTTGGCTGTAGATGCCGCTCCAATACCAAGCTGTGGCCTCCCCAAAACTAGAAAAATTAGATCCCAAGGCGACTTGACTCGCATACTGAAGTTGTCCTGACGCCGGCTACGGTGGCGTGCGTATCCTGCGTAGTGTAGGGATTAGAGATATTCTGAGCTTATAGATGACCGGTTGGCCGTAGATGCCGCTCCAATACCAAGCTGTGGCCTCCCCAAAACTAGAAAAATTAGATCCCAAGTCGACTTGACTCGCATACTGAAGTTGTCCTGACGCCGGCTACGGTGGCGTGCGTATCCTGCGTAGTGTAGGGATTAGAGATATTCTGAGCTTATAGATGACCGGTTGGCTGTAGATGCCGCTCCAATACCAAGCTGTGGCCTCCCCAAAACTAGAAAAATTAGATCCCGAGGCGACTTCACTCGCATATTGAATAAGTTGGACGCCGGCTACGGTGGCGTGCGTATCCTGCGTAGTGTAGGGATTAGAGATATTCTGAGCTTATAGATGACCGGTTGGCTGTAGATGCCGCTCCAATACCAAGCTCTGGCCTCCCCAAAACTAGAAAAATTAGATCCCAAGGCGACTTGACTCGCATACTGAAGTTGTCCTGACGCCGGCTACGGTGGCGTGCGTATCCTGCGTAGTGTAGGGATTAGAGATATTCTGAGCTTATAGATGACCGGTTGGCTGTAGATGCCGCTCCAATACCAAGCTGTGGCCTCCCCAAAACTAGAAAAATTAGATCCCAAGGCGACTTGACTCGCATACTGAAGTTGTCCTGACGCCGGCTACGGTGGCGTGCGTATCCTGCGTAGTGTAGGGATTAGAAATATTCTGAGCTTATAAATGCCCGATCTGGCTGTAGATGCCGCTCCAATACCAAGCTGTGGCCTCCCCAAAGCTAGAAAAATTAGATCCCGAGGCGACTTCACTCGCATATTGAATAAGTTGGACGCCGGCTACGGTGGCGTGCGTATCCTGCGTAGTGTAGGGATTAGAGATATTCTGAGCTTATAGATGACCGGTTGGCTGTAGATGCCGCTCCAATACCAAGCTGTGGCCTTTCTAAAACTAGAAAAATTAGATCCCAAGGCGACTTGACTCGCATACTGAAGTTGTCGTGACGCCGGCTACGGTGGCGTGCGTATCCTGCGTAGTGTAGGGATTAGAGATATTCTGAGCTTATAGATGATCGGTCGGCTGTAGATGTCGCTCCAATACCAAGCTGTGGCCTCCCCTAAACTAAAAAAAATAGATCCCAGGGCGATTTCGCTCGAATACTGAAACTGTCTTGACGCCGGCTACGGTTTATTACGTACGCTATTTATGTTCGCACCAGTATTTGTGTCTCGGGCGGTCACGGGGGCGGGGGGTTGCCTGTGGAAAAAGACCGTCCTCGCGGCCCTTTTCCACTGGACCCCGTCCGGGAACCATGCATTTGAACAACTTCTTTTTTTGTTGGCCTGCGGGCGCAACAACCTGGGCGAAGGGCCTTTTGTTTGGCCGGCGGCGCTAGAGCGAGAGCCAGGCCTAAAGCTCAGACACCGAGAGCCTAGAAATATATTTTGTTGCTGAACTACGAAAAAGCAAGAAGTTAAATCCGCCGAGGATCCGAAATCACGACCATCCGCGTGGTAGGCCGGGCGACAATCCATTACACCAAACGACTGATGGGAATAGGCGTCGGGAAAAGGCTTTTGTGTCCCGGGCGATCATGGGGGAGTGCATAGAAATGTGCGAACAACAATCTTCCCTGGAGAAGCCCACTTTAGAAAATTCCAGTTTTGAGTCTGAATCCGCTAAAGCTTTGTAAAGGTAATAAGATGCGCGTGATTTCCACTATCGAATACATATGTGGTCGCAATTACAGACCGAAATTCCATCAGGGCTTCGAGTTATGGCCCGGACACCACGGCAAGCAAAGCAATTTGTTAAGGAGACTTTGGAGAAATGCTCATAAAAATTTCATTGTAAAGAATTTCGAAAAATCCAAAAAATGGTATCCAGGGAATTGTATTTTCTCTTTACCCTCCAAAAATCAAGGCCCAATTCGGCCGGTGTCGCGAGATATCCTCTGAACATACCGCTTTTTCGACAGATTGTTAAGGATTTTTCACATTTTTTCTTGTAAAATCGTTAATTGAAGGAATTTCGGAAAATCCAAAAAACCGTTTCTCAGGACTGGCATTTCCCACCTCCATGCCGAAAATCAGCTCGGAATTCGGCCTGACGGCCGAGAAATCGGCTGCACAGGAAACAGACATACTTTTCTTGCTTATAGGATAGGATACGAAGGACTTTATTAATCTTACTGTGTGTCACGGAAATAATGCCATCATTAATAAGACGAAATTTAAAGAAAATTTTCTTGTGCTGATCATTGCGGCAGCTTGCGGCGTTTGATCAGTTCGGCACGGAAGCCCTTGGCCAGGAAACGCTGCAGCGTATGGTACGGACAGCGATCTGAAAGAAGAGGCAATTTGATAGCGTCCACGGAATGAATCGTGGTCCCAAGCGCAACTGAACTGACCTCCCTGCTGACAATTGTCGCCGCAAACAATTTTGCTCTTCGGATTGTCGTAGACTTTCCTGATGGTAGTTACAGTAACACAATTAGAAAGAAGATTAAAAAGAACCCAGGAAGCTGTCGCAAAACGGCCACCCCGTTATATTTCGGGCCAAATGGAATAATTCAATGGAATATTATTTTTTATGCTGTAGATTTCTTAAAGGGGCACCGAAGTGCCAAATACAAGCCCTGTTGGGAAGGGCCTTATATTTTGGCAAATTGCCAGCGGCCGCAGCGGGAGGAGAGAGCACTGTAGAAAAAGTAAATTTTTTGGAGGGATTTTAAATGCGACCCCATTTTATCCTAAACCTTTGCATAATTATCTTGCATTCTGATGGCAAAAATGAAAACAACCTCTCCTGTCCCATTATATAGCCGAATCCCGACTTCCGGTCTATGCTAATTTTTTCTAACAAAGAAGTTTTCACAAAATTTTAAATTAAATGTCGAAAATCGCTGATTTTGTAAAATTTGATATGTGTGCAGTCATCTCAAGACCATTACTCACCTAATGACGTATCATACGTACTTTAAAATTCATCCCCTAGCGAGATATCCTCCTGACAGACACACGGAAGTGGATGCAAAGTGGCACACACAAACACTATTTTTTCTATATTGTTTAAATAAATGCGATATTTAAGCTACTAAACCTCATTTTCGGGGCTTCGGACCCTGCCCATCGGATTCTCGAGCATGGAAAATGCTCGAAAAGATTAGTTTTGGCCGAAAATATAACGAGGAAGGCGCGTGACAACAGCTTTCTGTGTGTTGGCTTCTTTTTGCACGCCACTGTATGATCATGCTTTTTCAAAACTTTGTTTCTGTTTTGTTTTAGTCTGTTTCATATCAAAAATTTCATAATCAAAAAAATTTCTTTTTTTTTGGTCGCCGTTGTAATGGGCCTTCCAAATATGCGGGGTTTCTTCTAGTTTAGTTTTAAATAGTTTGTTATAACCGTCCAATCATGCCCGTTCGCGTGAGAGGGGAATTTGGATATTTTTGGATACCCTGTAGTTTGAGACCCCTTTGCACCCCCTTGAAGTGATTCACCGAAATGCATTTTTACAGCCAACGCAGGCGAGCACGCCATAAGCGTCATCGACCCGGTCCGTCGAGCCACAGCCGCAGACATTGTCCTGAAATGGGTCAATCAGTGTTGCGCGGAAAGCTCTTCGAATTGTAAGTTGCGTTGTCAATATGTCAATTTGAGTGACGCCTAATGTTTTTTTAATCTTTGCCTTAGGAATTCTAGTAGATTTAGCGTGAACACTATCATGGTTCCGAGATGGGGCTATGGTTAAAAAGCAGCAAATTTGTTTTTCAACACGCTCTATGATGGATTTTCACGGACGAAAAAGGCCCTGGTAAAGTCTAAATCTGCTGTCGATGACCCGCAACGTGACTTCTGGGCGGGGGTTTTTGAATAATCTGATCGGCTTTTGACGGAGCTGAACAATCCATAGCTCATACCGTTGGCTGACGAGGAGCGGGGCCGGGCTGAAAGAAATGTTGAAACAAATGATTTTGCTTACAAGCTATAAAAAAAAGCTTTTTTTTCTTAGGTGATGTGCTGCCAATGGAAGCCGGAAGCTGACTTTCTCCCTCTAATTACGAAATATCAACCCTTTTTACAATTTATTTATTACAATTTCAATTCAATTTAACAGTTAGGTGCAAAAAAATTATGAAAATGATGCAAAAAGTTATGAAATGTATGATAGATATATAAAATTCCAAATAAGAGCAGAAATTTCAATCTTTTCGAAATTTGTTTAGTCCTTTTGATAATCAGAAGCTGCAATCAAAACTGCTAAGACATCTTAAAATACACTGTTTATTATCAACAGGTAGGCAGAAAAGAAAAATTATTTTCCTATCCCCCATTCCCCCCAAGGCGAATATGATGAAAAATCGTTGAACCGACAGTTTTCGATTTGGCAATTTCGAACTGACCTTATTTTTGCGGTGACGGCCAGCTCGACGGACCGCGACTGCGGCTCCTCCAACAGTGTCCTCCTGAACTTTTCATGAGAGGCAACTCTTAGCTACGCGATCTATTGGGAATTGTTCCAGAATTTCCATGGTTCTTCCTAGACCCAATGAACAATTTGGTTCTTTAGGATTTTTTTTATAAATTGCGCATGCGTTTCTAAATTGTTTTTATCTGTTCCTGTGCATAAAAACTACACACATTTTAACCAAAAAAAATGTAAAAAATTAAAAATTACCCCCCGGGAATCCTAAAGTACCAACAATTTTGTATCCGATATTTTTGATGCAAAAAAAACACGTTTTTTGCCAAAACCTTAATTGAACCGGGGAAGTGCCATCTAATGTGCTTTCTCAAAAGCGGCTTTGAAATGGCTGCCTTTGGATTCCTATGAGATACTTAAAAATTATAAACAGCAATTTCTTTTAAAAATTGCATCGGGGATGTGTTAAAAATCTGCCCATTTGCCAAAAAATATTGGTAATGTTAGAAAAATTTTGAAAATTGGAAGGACGCGCTCGACTCGCTCTGTCAAGAGCTTTGGATAGGTAACTAAACGGTCAAAACCCGACACGACTGCGGCCCGTCAGTTAGGAAGGATGTGGGTGATTTTTTTGGGCTCTCGATAATTTTTTGGGTTTCGGGCCTTATGATCAAGAATTTTCAAGGCCTTCAGGCAGATGTATTTGGCGAAAAGCAAGGAACTTTGCAGCACGCGGGTGTCTTACCAGCGATGGATCGCTTCGCGGCCCAGCGTGCTAACCAGTACACCAGGTCGCCAAAGGTGCAGGGGCGGGAGAAGCCCTCAAAATAACCTGGGCGCCTGACCGGCCAGTTTCAGTTTTGGTACCGGCTTTGGCCTGCGCCGAATTGGGCTTTGCATAAAAATTAAGCTTCCCAATGTGAATTAGCGTCCCGTCGGTCCGTCACCACGACGGAAGCCTGTCCATCTTTCTTCAGCATTTTAGAGGCACATTAAAATCTTGTGCAAAAAGTAGGCTTGCGGTCGGGAGTTCGGGCTCTTTGCCGCCGAACGCCTGGACCCTTATTATCCCCCTTCCCCCCCGTCTGCACCATGGCCCAGTGGTCCAAAGAGCTTGCCCCAGGCGAGTGGTCCGGGCTCGGTTTTGCTCCGCGACGGGCCCCTACCGTAACCCTGTTTGCTATCCCGTAGACGGTTACCGCCCGGTAACCAACCCAACGACACTTTGGTGTACCTTTAAGCCGCATTGCAACTTGCAAACCGTTAGGAAGCTGTTTTTTCGTACTGGTAAACGTTCGAGACTAGTTTTTCACCATTTATTTCCCGTATGCCTTTCCGTAGGCAGATTTCACATTGAATACAGTAATTGCGTGTCGACAATTAATAAGGCGGACGAGGGGCGAATTTAATCCGGTCGTTCTTCTGGTGGAATTGGCGGTTGAGGCTAGTGGTCGACAAGCTGAAAAAGCAAAATACCGAAAATTTTCTAAAATTTGTTAAGTATTTTGTTCGAATTATCCGAAAATCGAATTCTAGAAACCGGTATTTTGCTTTTCCTTTTTGAAAAAAAAAACAGGTCGCAAGCTAAATCGTAAATAAACGCCGCGGCGTGTAAATATTTGGGGGCCGAAAGCCCTAACCCAAGAAAGGAAAGGATTTTTGGGCGGAATGACATTTTAGACGCCGAGTTCAGACTTGATATACGGACAGGGTACATGGAGATCTGTAGAGGTGTCCGGCTGACCTGCGAACAAGGAGTGGTTTTTTTAGTGATCCCGGAGTTTCGAGATCGCGCCATGCCTATTTTGCGCAAATTTCAGACCTTGATTCCGAAAGCGTTTTCAAAAAGGTTCGACGTGACACTCCCGTTATTCCCCCCGTTAACAACCTTTACCCAGGATGCCCCAATAAGAAAACACCCCTAACTAGACGCGTACGGGGCCGATTGGATTGCTAATTATACCATACGAAGCCGTTGAAACGATCTGTCTGAAACAATCTCCATAACCATAAGACGATTTTAACTCGCTACCAGGGTTGAAAAGCCGCTTCGCGACTTTTCAACCCTGGCCCCGTCTTGGACTATCTGCTGTTCTACGCTTTGCATAATTGTGCTGAATTCAGATGACCAAAAAATGAAAATGATTCGCTTGTGGCCCTTTATATAGGCGACTCCCCACTTCCGGCCAATGCTAATTTTTCCTAGCGGAGAGGGTTTTACAAAAACTTAAATTTAATATCGAAAATGGCTGATTTGTATAAATCTGATATGTGGGCAGTCATCCCTAGACCATTACGCACATAATGACGTATCGTACCCACCCCTCACTCCTTCCCCTATAGAGATACGACTGGAACAACGATACGGAAGTGGATGCAAAGTGGCACACACACACAGACACTATTTTTTTATATATAGTAGGAATATCGAAAATGGCTGATTTGTATAAATCTGATATGTGGGCAGTCATCCCTAGACCATTACGCACATAATGACGTATCGTACCCACCCCTCACTCCTTCCCCTATAGAGATACGACTGGAACAACGATACGGAAGTGGATGCAAAGTGGCACACACACACAGACACTATTTTTTTATATATAGTAGGATTTAAAAACACAGTCAAAGCATTAAGGCCTCCGTATCAAATTAACGGTCATTTCGGATCATTATACTTTGGCGAAATTGAGGCAAATTAGCCCGAAATACGCAAAGCTTTACGAAATGGCTTATAAAATAGCGGGTTTGAATAAAACTATAATTCTCAGAATTTGAAAACTCGTCGTTTCAAGGGCTTTCGAGTGGTGTGGCCAGCATTCTGATCAGACGTTTCAGCGCTTCCAGTTCGAGGGGGTGTTTTTGATTGGGACACCCTGCAATATCTGGGCGCCCACCATTTCCGATTCCAGCGAGTTTGAAGAGGTGGCCGAAATGCAGACAGCCGTCTCAACGTCGCTGCTCTAAACGGTATTCAAAATTTGGTTCAATGTTGCCGAATCAAGGAAAAAGCATTTCGCACCTCCCCGCCACTGGTCGTGCCGTCGTCGGGTGGTAATTGGCCGGATACGTTCAGCTCGACGAGCGTGCCCTTTAAATGATGATCATCACTTAGAAGAGAATATGGTAATCCACCACATCAGAATTTGGGACAGGTGGAGTCGAGAGCAGCTGCTGGACATTGGTCTGGTCGTCTCCCGTCTTGTCTTCCCCCGTTTTCACTCCCTTTAAATGATGTTTGTTACTTAGAAGGGGATATGGTAATCTACTGTGTGGTATCATTATACTTTGGAGGTAACATGTGTGTATCTTTATGCATCAAATGGACATCTCTGCTAAGGGCCACCCGGGATAGCGACTGGGTTGATACGATTTGGGAGGTACCAGCGCCGACCCCCCGCTACGCGGGGGTTCAGCGCTGGCCCTCCTCCCCCCCCCCCGCACCATTTGAATCTTGAATTTGAATGCAGAATTAGGCTGAATTCCCGGTCGGGCGGACAGACGGACATTAGAAATTTATATATAGTAGATAGATAGTAGATTCCGCACTTCAATTGCAGGGAAACCGACTGTGAGATCTGTGTAGGTGGCCCCCCCGCCCCCGGATATAGATTATCATCGCGACGCGGACTTGAGGGCCGTCGAAAGGAAGTTTTTAGAAGGCGCCGCATCGTGCGGCCCGTGCGGGTTTTCACCAGACAACTTTGTCGATAGGACTCTCAAACCTACGGGCAGATCGTCCTGCAGCTTCTCCTTGAAATCTTCAATTTCTAGAGCTGTATGGGCCGGACTGCATGCAGTGGCCGTCGTCAGGGACAGCGAGACCTGAAAAATAGCGTTTCTGCCAGGCAGGCTGCAGCCGGCCCCCAAATACGGGCAGCGAGTCCTCAAAAAAGTTCAAAGCATTCTATTTTCACGGTTTAGGTATCTATCGAAAGCTCTCGGAATTGTATTCTTAATTTACCGGGGCTGTCAGTTTCGGAGGCTTTTTCTCCGCCTTCTCGCTTTTCTCCCCAGCGTCGTTCAGTTCGTCCGGAGGCGCACTCGACGAGTTGTTGAAGTCGGCCGTGCTCGGATCCTGAAATAGTTCATTCAACGCATTGTATTCTTAATTTACCGGGGCCGTCAGTTTCGGAGGCTTTTTCTCCGCCTTCTCGTTTTTCTGCCCAGCGTCGTTCAGTCCGTCCGGAGGCGCACTCGACGAGTTGTTGAAGTCGGCCGTGCTCGGATCCTGAAATAGTTCATTCAACGCATTGTATTCTTAATTTACCGGGGCCGTCAGTTTCGGAGGCTTTTTCTCCGCCTTCTCGTTTTTCTGCCCAGCGTCGTTCAGTCCGTCCGGAGGCGCACTCGACGAGTTGTTGAAGTCGGCCGTGCTCGGATCCTGAAATAGTTCATTCAACGCATTGTATTCTTAATTTACCGGGGCCGTCAGTTTCGGAGGCTTTTTCTCCGCCTTCTCGCTTTTCTCTGCAGCGTCGTTCAGTCCGTCCGGAGGCGCACTCGACGAGTTGTTGAAGTCGGCCGTGCTCGGATCCTGAAATAGTTCATTCAACGCATTGTATTCTTAATTTACCGGGGCCGTCAGTTTCGGAGGCTTTTTCTCCGCCTTCTCGCTTTTCTCCCCAGCGTCGTTCAGTTCGTCCGGAGGCGCACTCGACGAGTTGTTGAAGTCGGCCGTGCTCGGATCCTGAAATAGTTCATTCAACGCATTGTATTCTTAATTTACCGGGGCCGTCAGTTTCGGAGGCTTTTTCTCCGCCTTCTCGCTTTTCTCTGCAGCGTCGTTCAGTCCGTCCGGAGGCGCACTCGACGACTTGTTGAAGTCGGCCGTGCTCGGATCCTGAAATAGTTCATTCAACGCATTGTATTCTTAATTTACCGGGGCCGTCAGTTTCGGAGGCTTTTTTCTCCGCCTTCTCGCTTTTCTCCCCCAGCGTCGTTCAGTTCGTCCGGAGGCGCACTCGACGAGTTGTTGAAGTCGGCCGTGCTCGGATCCTGAAATAGTTCATTCAACGCATTGTATTCTTAATTTACCGGGGCCGTCAGTTTCGGAGGCTTTTTCTCCGCCTTCTCGCTTTTCTCCCCAGCGTCGTTCAGTTCGTCCGGAGGCGCACTCGACGAGTTGTTGAAGTCGGCCGTGCTCGGATCCTGAAATAGTTCATTCAACGCATTGTATTCTTAATTTACCGGGGCCGTCAGTTTCGGAGGCTTTTTTCTCCGCCTTCTCGCTTTTCTCCCCAGCGTCGTTCAGTTCGTCCGGAGGCGCACTCGACGACTTGTTGAAGTCGGCCGTGCTCGGATCCTGAAATAGTTCATTCAACGCATTGTATTCTTAATTTACCGGGGCCGTCAGTTTCGGAGGCTTTTTCTCCGCCTTCTCGCTTTTCTCCCCAGCGTCGTTCAGTTCGTCCGGAGGCGCACTCGACGAGTTGTTGAAGTCGGCCGTGCTCGGATCCTGAAATAGTTCATTCAACGCATTGTATTCTTAATTTACCGGGGCCGTCAGTTTCGGAGGCTTTTTCTCCGCCTTCTCGCTTTTCTCCCCAGCGTCGTTCAGTTCGTCCGGAGGCGCACTCGACGAGTTGTTGAAGTCGGCCGTGCTCGGATCCTGAAATAGTTCATTCAACGCATTGTATTCTTAATTTACCGGGGCCGTCAGTTTCGGAGGCTTTTTCTCCGCCTTCTCGCTTTTCTCTGCAGCGTCGTTCAGTTCGTCCGGAGGCGCACTCGACGAGTTGTTGAAGTCGGCCGTGCTCGGATCCTGAAATAGTTCATTCAACGCATTGTATTCTTAATTTACCGGGGCCGTCAGTTTCGGAGGCTTTTTCTCCGCCTTCTCGCTTTTCTCCCCAGCGTCGTTCAGTTCGTCCGGAGGCGCACTCGACGAGTTGTTGAAGTCGGCCGTGCTCGGATCCTGAAATAGTTCATTCAACGCATTGTATTCTTAATTTACCGGGATTCTTTTCGTATCGGGGCTGATACCGGGCAAATCGCCAATAGTATCATTACGTAATTTTTATGAAAAAACTTGCAAATGAATATTTTCAACCAAATATCAACTTTTCAAGCATTTTTCTACGCTTTAAGAAAGTTTGCTAGCCAATACAGCTAAATTTCCCCAAAACACTATTAAAAACCGAATCAGGCAGAGCAATTCACACTTCCCCGATATTGCCAAGGCACCATTTTTTAAAGCCTTAAAAATAACTTGATACCTTAGCCTTGAGAAAAGATGGGTATTTCCGCTTCGCGACTTTTCAACCCTGGCCCCGTCCAACCATAATATTCTAAACTCTGCATACGTCTCTCGAATTCTCTGCAGTGAAAAAATGAAAAACGCCCCTCTCTCGCAATATATATATAGGCTACCGCCACTTCCGGAGTATGCTAATTTTTCCTAACAAAGAGAGCGGCCGAATTTTCAACAAAAACTTAATTTTAATGTCGAAAATAGCATAATTTGCAACATTTGATATTTGTGCAGTTATCCCAGAGCCATTACGCACCTAATGACGTATCATATTTAGGCTACGACGTTCGCTTCTTGAGTTATCCTCTGGACAGAATGACGGAAGTTGCATGCAAAGTGGCACAGACACACACACAAACACTATTTTTTTTATATATAGTAGGATATATAGTAGGATGGGTCTCTCGCTGGCCTATATTCTAACCCGATCGGGTGTAAGGCGGTCAAATTGCGAGTAGGGGGCGGTGCTTTGGGCATTCCCCTGTGTTGCGAGTGTTTCTGGGCAACGGCTTTTGAACGCGACCGAATCCCACAGATACCCACCGGCTGATAGCGGCCAGGGTGAAAATATTGGGGCCAATCCGTCTGAAAAGCCGCAGTTTGACTACATGGCTAATGATTTCGTTACCTTCGCGGGCTTCGGCTCCGCCTTGTATTCAAACTGAAACAAACGGAGGTATGACAAAAAAAAGTTAAAAGATCACCTTCGTCTTGAATTTCTTCTCGTACGTAGTGATTTCTCCGGCCGCCTAAGATACAGGAGTGCCCCAAAAAATCACCCCCCCGCCCCTCTAGCGTGCCGCAGATGTGTCCGATTCATACGACTAAGGTATCTATCGAAAGCTCTTGCAAAAGCAAGTCCAGCACGTCAATCCATTGGAAATGTCGAAATTTTTCACACGACTTTCGACATTTTTGATGCAAAAGGGATACACTTTTGGCCCGAATTTAACGGGTTTAAGCGCATCCAAGCTGTGTTTTTGCAAATGGCTTTCAAAATGCGCTCGTTGAACCGCCAGGAAAGGCTACGGTGGTTTAAATTGTGATTTTTGACAAAAACGAAAAAAAAACGAAAATCCCCCCGTTTCGCAAGCATTATTAAATGTCAAACTTTTTTTAAAATATGCGCATGAACGTGCTGGACTTGTGTTTCCGAGAGCTTTCGATACCTAAATGGTCGGAATCAGACACGGCTTCAGCTGGTGAGGGAGGGTGGTGTTTTTTTGGGACACTCGGTTTGCGAATCTTACATTAACTTAAGACCGAGGGCGGTGAGGAAGTCGGCTTTTTTCCGTGAGCGGATAACACATTATAAATATGCTTTGCGGTCCTGTTGCTTAGAGATCTGAGTGGTTACAAACAATTTCATGCTCAGAAGTCTTGCGAACCTTGCGCCTCGCCAAACATAGAGCCCTAATTTATTTGGCCATCAGTCATAGCATCTCATTTACGAAAATTACAGGCAAGAAGAAGCCTTACAGCCTTTCGATGTCTAAGAAAAATTTTAAATTTTAAATGATTTGTTTTTCACTAATTTTCGCCGCACCCCCACCCCCTCCCGGCAAATATCGATTGACGCAAAAATAGAATTAAAGGTCACATCAGCTTCCTCCTCGTCACAAGCCTCCCCAAATTTAGCGTCGATGGTCACGGAGTCCTTGACCTGGAAGTATAAGAATTGGCACAGCAAAACCAATCCATGCCATCTCGACGTCGGCATGGCCGCGCTCACCACAATTTTCGGTACAAATGTAAAAACTATGTGCAGCCGAATTTTCTAGGCAAAATATGTAAAACAAAAAAGTTATCGCTAAATAACTGATTTTTGGCGGGCCGCTGGTACTCATTTTTGGGTATGTTTTCGCAATTAGTCTCCCGATTTTTGAGTCATTTTGCGAAAAATGATCATTTTTGGGTGGGTTTCTGCCACATAATAATCTCAAAAAACGACACCTTGCCCAGCTTTTTTTGCTTTTCGAACTAATGGCCAGGTTCGTTCAAAAAATTCAATATCACATAAAAACCGCGGGGGATATTCTTGTTACCTTCTGCTTGTAGTCCCTGAGCTCGGCCAAAATTGCCACCACCGCATCGATGGCGTCGTCGATCGTGGGCATGAACTCGTCGCACACCTCCAAAATGAGTTTCCGAGAAGCAATTCGTGAGCGCCGAAGTTGTACCAATTTTCCTTGCGCAAACCCCCCTCCCCCGGCCCCTGGCCGGCCCCGCCCTACCCGAGTTTTGCGATATATTAGCAGGCAACTATCAACTCAGTCTCAATCTTACTTTATACGGGTCGAAAAAGGGCAAGGGTTGCCCTTATGCCCGCATTTTGTAAAAATATCGAAAATGTAGAAAACTATCCTCGCACCTCCTTTGGCGAAACCTCGTCTAAACCTAGTCTTTGTTGTAACTATTTTAAACCAACGCCCAAAATCCGCTTCGCGGGCCTTGGGCGCTGGAATGCGGCTTTTCCATGAGAAATTTGACTTTCTGATGGCTCGGGTCCTTCGGACCGCCATCCCCACCGACCACACACGCGAGTGCAACTGGCAAGAATGAAGAAATTTCTATTTTTTTCACATTATGCTAATGAGCCCTCCCGGACCCTCAAAAATGAGTAAAACCGGCTTTAACTTTGTAAACTTGTATTTTATCGGGATTCTGAAAATGTCATTGGAAAGAGGAAGGTCGATTACCCCATGTGACGGAGAATTGGGGCATTTTGGACACGGGAACGCCCTCAAATTGGGACTCGAAACTGACATCCACACACACACACACACACACACACACACACACACACACACACACACACACACACACACACACACACACACACACACACACACACACACACACACACACACACACACACACACACACACACACACACACACACACACACACACACACACACACACACACACACACACACACACACACACACACACACACACACACACACACACACACACACACACACACACACACACACACACACACACACACACACACACACACACACACACACACACACACACACACACACACACACACACACACACACACACACACACACACACACACACACACACACACACACACACACACACACACACACACACACACACACACACACACACACACACACACACACACACACACACACACACACACACACACACACACACACACACACACACACACACACACACACACACACACACACACACACACACACACACACACACACACACACACACACACACACACACACACACACACACACACACACACACACACACACACACACACACACACACACACACACACACACACACACACACACACACACACACACACACACACACACACACACACACACACACACACACACACACACACACACACACACACACACACACACACACACACACACACACACACACACACACACACACACACACACACACACACACACACACACACACACACACACACACACACACACACACACACACACACACACACACACACACACACACACACACACACACACACACACACACACACACACACACACACACACACACACACACACACACACACACACACACACACACACACACACACACACACACACACACACACACACACACACACACACACACACACACACACACACACACACACACACACACACACACACACACACACACACACACACACACACACACACACAAAGATACGCGACCAAATTATATAAGGTAGGATAGGATTACATGATTTTGGATGGCCATTCACACTTTGAACAGATTGTACTAGGCTCGTCGAATAGCGCGTCAAAAATGTCGAAAAATTGCGTAAAAATTTTTTTTGAAACTAACTGTTTGACCCCCTTTTTAAGGTTATTCTTGTTTTTGTTATAACTTTTGATCGCACAATATTTTCAGCGGTGCTTACGTGGGATATTTTCCCTATAATATGTTTTGCGGCGCTCTATCGATTGGCGTGCTAAAAAACCTTGAAGAAAAAAAGCGAAAATATGATAAGTTTTATGAACAGTTAAGTTAAATATGAACCTTTTTCCAAGAGCTTAATTTGATGGCTTCAGCTCCTTCCAAACCATTTTTTCTCAATTCACGTTTAAAAACCTAGCGCACGAACCTCCTCCAGGGTTTTGGCCGGCTGCTCGCTCTCCATTGACCATCCGCGCTGCAACGCCTCCGCCACCTCCTGAAAGAAGTCAGCTTGAATAAGTCGTGGCGTAACTTTTTTTGTGGAGCGCAATAAAAGGTTACGATACTTTTCTTTCATCAAATGTTTTCCTATGCGTCGAGAAATGCTTAGCCAGTAGGAGTATTTATTTTAACAGTGTTTTAGTAAAATTTAACTATAACTATTTTATGATTAGTATCATTATTATTTATTATTATTAGAAAATACAGTAATAAACTTGACAACTTTTGCGTTTAGGGGTAATAAAAACGCTTAAGAAATACTGTCTCTACTCAAAATTTGTACCTAAGGGGGTTGAGTTATTGGTTGGTTGAGTGGTTGCCGGTTTGCCACCCCCGCCCTCCCCATGACCTTCCCCATTCTCCGAAAGACGTTTACCTGCGTCAGCACCGGCATTCCGTCGTTGCCAGCACGGCAGCGGTTCTCGAAGATGTAGCCGGTATTTGCAGTGGCGATGAGCATTTCCGTCTGGAAGTCCAATTGTCTAATTTCCTAAAACCTGCTTGAATCCGGCTCAAGCCTTTTCTAACACCGGTTTTATTGGACCAACTGAGCTTATCCCTTTATTCATTCGATGCCAGTGTGGCAATACAAGACTTCCTACGGCGGCGAGATAAGCAAGAGTCTGGCGGGAAAAAACAGCCTTCGGGGTCGTTGGACCGAGCGGATATTAGCGAGGCGGGAACTAATTTTTACGTTTCCGTTAATGACTCAATACCGCTGTAAGTACTAGGTCGAAACCTGGTTTAACCAACAATCTACATTTCCCTGAGAAAAAATAGACGCTTCCAGCCCGCTAAAAATGGACCACCACAACACGGAGGCGCAGCTTACCAAACATTTCACTCTTATCTCTCTCTCCCACTCTGTCTCGCTCTCGCTCTCTTTGCCTATCTCTCTCGCTGCCTATCTCTCTCCCGCTCTCTCTCTCTCTCTCTCTCTCTCTCTGTCTCGCTATCTCCTCTATCTCTATCTCGCTCTCTCTACCTATTTTGTTCTCTCCCTCTCTCCCTCCCTCTCTCTGTCTCTCGAAAATCAAAATGTCGAAATTTCATAATGTCGACATTTTTTGCTTTGGATTTGGCGGGTTTTAGCGGGACGACATTCTGAATTTCGACATTGTGAACTTCGACATTATCATTTTAGGCATTTTGAAAATTTGCGGTCTCACTGCTCACCGGGGGCTCCTCAGCGATACTTGGGCCACAACCGATCCACTTCAAAACCCGCAAGCAGCATCCGAGCTCGTTGGACTCAACTTCCGAATCCTCCGACACGGGAGGGGGGTCGCGGCCGTTGGCCAAACGCTTCTTCAAGCCAGCACGGTTGCTTTCAGCCTTGCATTGGCGACGCTGGCAGGCGCTCTGAAAACCGCAACAGATGTTGGCACTCCAAGTGTTCTTACCACGTACATACGCCAGCGTTTCTCGAAGTGCTCACGTTCTTGCTTCTTCCGGTAGGCGGCAGACTGAAATCTTTTTGAGTCTTCAATAATTTCTTGAGCTCACTTTCTCCAGCAACGGGGCGAGCCACGCCTTGATCACCGAGAAGAGCTTCGCGAAGGTGACCTCATCGAGGTGCGCAACGAATGAATCGGACTGCTAAAATCAGAACCTTAGTTATGGGACTCCCAAGGTAGTGCCTCCGTTCTTCAGGATTCGCGTGAGAACAAGTTTTCTTCGGCGCAAGCATACGTTTCTTTATAATCCTACCTACCCTACCCATCTGGGCCACACGCACTAAAAAACTTACTCCCGCAACCACAAACATGGTGCCAGATGTGGAATGTGTTGAGCGTACGAAGCGGCAGCGAGGAGTACTGCCCTCTCGGGTGTAAACCCACGCACTCAAAACGTGTTTTTTTTTGCCCCAGCCACCATTTCAAAACTGCATGCTAATCGCGCTGATATCATTATTCTAGGCGAGTATGCAGATATATAGGGTGTTCCAAAAAAATCACCCCCTAGCCGGCCGCAGACACGTCCGATTTTTACGATATTTTTACGATCCGATCTATCGAAAACTCTCGCAGAGGCGAGTCCAGCACTTTTCTCTTACTCTGAAAATTTGTAAAATCTAAATTTGTAAAATTTTCTGTACTAATGCAGTTGGGGGGGGGGCATTCCGAAATTGCTTGTAAAGGGCCACGAGACGCTCCGCTTACTAGGGAATGTTTTCGGGCGGTCATCGGACCTAAATATGTGAGTATGTGCATCTTGTAGAGCTCGACGAGACGAATCGAGTGATCTATTAGCTGCGGATACCTTATTTTACTAAAGTTACAGCTGATTAAAGTTTTCCGACTTACCTTCATAAGCCCCCTTCCACGAAGGGCGGTGAATCTTAAAACGTCCCTTTACTGCAGGGACTCTATCGCGCGCCCCTGCGCCCTAACTACAGTAACCCACCCCACCGGCCCCCATTACGCTAGCCAATTGCTTTCCTTTCCAAAAACCAAAAGTATAGCACAACCGCCCATGGGTTCGGTCCAGATGGTTCAAGGGAAAGGGCGTACTGTACGTGTTTTTCGCGCGTTGCGTGCGGGTGCGCGGAATAGCAACCGGTTTTTAGCTGGGCAGGCCTGCTTTCGCAATTGCGCGACGCGTCTATCGCACGCGTTACGGTCTTTCCTCCTTCCCAAAGCTACCGGACGTTTATTAGAAGCCGGGCCGCTGTGATAGGAGAAAGAAATAGAAATCGGATTAGAAAATTTTGCATACGTGAAATAGAGCTATAATTGCGCACTTTGTAAAGCTTAAATAGTCTTAGGACACCAATCACGCTTTCAACATTCTTACGCACTAAGCAGGATTGAATGGCGCTTCGTCCGCAGTTCGATGTCGCTTCCGGAAGTTCAGGCGGAGTAGATAATAGG